GCTTATTATATAGAGTTGGTTGCAATTTACCAGTTTTTTTTTTTTTTTATGTTTAAGCAATATTAATATTATTGTTCTTTCCTAACACGAAAATACTGATGAATATTGCAGCATGTTTAGTGCAATTATATGTGGATTGGGTTATTACACTACACTCTGGGGACAACTCAAAGACGACGAAACGGGTAAAAATATTAAGGGTAGTACGTCAACTACTTCTGATGAGAAAGTTCCTACTTCTAGCAAGAAAAAGAAGAGGAGGAAGAAGAAGAAGAAGATTCGCCAGTTTAAGATGGAAGAAATTAAGATTAAGATATTTAAATGCTACGAAAGTTGTATATATGTGTTGGAGGATGATTTTTTGAAGCCTTCCATCGCAAGTTGAACAATGAAATTGTTGTTCAGCTCTATTTTGTATAGTTAGGGGTTATGCCCTGCTTAGCTGCTGGGACCTGGGACTGGATCTGGACCGGCTGTGGATCTGGTACATCTTGTGGCTGACTGGAGGAAGCCTCCGGTGGGTCCGCCAACTGGATGATGGCATCAGTTGCACTAGGGATCTTCCTCCTCTTCTTTGAAGGCCTCTGTGTCTGCTCCGGNGCCCTAGAAAAAGAAAAATAAAAACAATAAATTAAGATAAAGAAATCCCTAAAATAAGGTTTGGACAAACAAACATTTGACAAGTATGAGAAGAGCAGTTGGGTCCAAAGATGACAAAAGGGCTCACCTATTATTTCAAAAACATGGTCAGTGGTCACTCCTATGATGACGTTTTACTATAATACTTAGTTTCGGGTCTTTTTCTTCCACCTTTAATTGCTTACGTGCAATCAATAAGAGTTATGGTAGAGTAATAAATATTTCTTTTGTTCTTAATTAGAGGTCTCGAGTTCGAGTCTAAAGTCTGAAGTTGTCTTGTTAAGGAACTCTTTATCCTTAAATATGAAATTTTACAACACAAATATGAATTTAATCGAGCTCCAAGACAAATTCCAAATACCGGGTGGCAAAACAAACCAAAAAAAAACAATTGCTTACGTACTATGGTTTAAACACAAACGAAACTGGAATTGCTGATGTCTTAAATTCTTCTAATTTCTCTATCACTTGCTATATCAACCACCCCCTTAAAATATCCCAACCAGCCAATCAGTTATGAGTATGTCAATCTTGGATGGTGTCATCTCTATTTTCTTAAAATAGATATATGGAGAAGGATGTAATCTTTATCTTTTTTGTATGTTATAAGTTTCGATTTTAGCAGAATAAGCACATAACCTCTCTGGCCCAAATTAACTGACGTTATTAGTTTCAATTTTCAGAAGAAAAAAATGAATTATAAAAATAAAATATATCGTTTTCCCAAATTGTTCATCCTTTTGTGCCTATTGGCAATTTAATGAATCCTCAGAGTAAAGTTAGATATGAAGTAAATTTGTTATTTACAATTGATTTTGATACTAAATAATACTATAAGGGGTCGTTTGGTTGGAATATAATTTATACCGGTATAAGTTATGCCGGTATAAGTTATATTGGGATAAGTTATGCTGCGATTGTTGTTCATTCATTGTTTAGTATGTTGTATTAAGAATAACAATTGCATAATTTCTAAGAAGAAGGTATAAGTTATACCGGTACTAATTACCCCACCTTCTATAAGGTATAACTTATAAGGTATTTGAGAACTCACTTAAGCTAAAAAATTGAATTCTTCATAATTTAACTTCTTTTTTTCCACCTTTACACTAATATTTGTTAAAACATAGTTCGACAATTTAAGGTGACATTATCCACAGAAAACTCACCCAAAGCCACAGAAAGCTATGCATGAAAAGAACAATTGAGGATTTGAACGCTGGTTAAAGTGTGCAGAAGGCACAGCTTTGATGTGATTTTAGTAAAAATGAAAGACTTTTTGGCACAGAAACTCTTCTTTAGCTATTGCAAAAAAATAAAAATAAAACACATTGGATAAATTAGGATAAATGGATTATAAAGATAAAAATTAGTCATAGATATTTGTGTAGTAAAATATTGAGGCAATCATCCATTGTTCGATCATGTCACTGAAGTTGTCTCAACTTGGGTGAAAAAGAAAAAGGCTCTGTAATTTGGAATGATATTAGAATTGTGAGGTGTAATAATGGAGTTGCGAAAAAATATCTAGTAGGGCCATGATTAATTTGAACCACAAAGACAAACCTTGTGGGGACTATATATTATATTTAAATAACTTAATGTTATATTACCTACGTGAAACAATCCACGTAGGACAAATAAGAAGAGTTTCTTGAATAGAGACTATACTATTAATAAAATATTAATTGTTGTGTCACCTCTTGGGTCACTCGAGTTGCTCGTTCCCTTTAAAAGTAGCTTAACCTTTGCATGAAAGGTTAACTTCTTCTGTTTGTATATTGAAAATTTATCATTGCCTTTTCTCCATAAATGAGAGACACACTAAACAAATTAGCCAAACGAGCTAGAAGCTTAGCTAATACAGAGATAGAAAGAGGAAGAGAAAATATGGGTGTAAAAGCTATTTTAGAAGATATTTTGCCATGCACAGCCATGGTTTTAATAGAAATTTGCACTATTTTCTTGACAATTATGGCGAGTACAACCATGTCAAGATTAGGGATGAGCTCTTTTGTTTTTGTGGTTTACACCAACGCTCTTAGCTCTATCATTCTTCTTCCTTATTCATTTCTCTACCATAGAAGAGACAAGTAAATTTTCAACACCATTATTAAGTATTATTTTTTCTTTTTGTTATTTTTATTGTATAGGATGTAATCTGTGTTGATTTTTCTTTCTTTACTTGTTGCAGGATACAAGCGCCATTGTTTACTTTTCCCCTACTTCTTCATGTATCCCTCCTTGGTTTTGTAGGGTTAGTTCTTCTTTCTAATTTCTCTTTTCTTGTTGAACAATATATTAAGAATTACAGAGAAGAGAGGCAGAGAAAATAGAAATCATCATTACAACCTAGTTAGATCGATCATAAGAACAAACTAATTAAGAATAGTGGCTGATGATCAAGAATTTAAACTTGAAAGATTCAACATTAAGCCTCTTACACCGAAAGTTTGTATATTTTGGAATTATAATTTTAAAATTTTAGTGGATTTCGTACGTGCTCACATATATACACACACAAAGTTTTAAAAGGACTGGGTTCAGTTTATAAACCTATTGCATCAGCTTCTGATTAATAACATCACTTATTTAGCGATTTGAATAACTCATTGAAATTTACAAGGACATCATTAACATCACTTGAAAAATTAACTGTGATAGAGAATTTGATTTATGGTTGTTTTTACAGGGTAACAATAGCTCAGAATCTTGCATTTGCGGGACTAAGTTACAGTTCACCAATAGTAGCATGTGGCATGGCCAACCAGATACCAGCCTTTACTTTTATTCTCGCCATATTCCTCAGGTTCTTTCTTCAACCTCTATTTTAATTATTATTTTATATGGCTTATATTGGATGGAATCTTGAAAACTAGATACTAAAGCTGTAGACAAAGAAAAAGATTTGCTCCCACCTTTGTTATTATTTTCTAGTGAGATCCTTTAATTTCTTGCAACTTGAAGATGAAAAGAAGTTAAAGATGATGTAGAAAGAGAGAGACGAACTTGTGGATGATGTTAGAAGTGGGACATCAAATTTGATTAATTAGATTTAAGAGACGTGTATATATATATATATATATATATATATATGGTGGGCACAAGCCAAAATATTTGGATCCAAATTGATGGGCCATATATACCACAAGAAGGGTACTATTATTTTGTATATAGAGAATAGCTATTAATTAATTGGATGTAATTGGTTGGTAGAGAGATGGACCTACTACCAACATGTCACTAGTTTTGCATGTAAAAATAAAAAACTGAAATGCCAAACAACTCCTTCCAATGAAAAGTTATGAACAGATTTCCTAAATAGTTTCGCCAAGAATAAAACAGAAAACAACTCCCAGTAATTTCAGTCTCATCTCGCGTTTGTCCGTTATTGCAACAAATAAACTGGAAAATGAATTTAACTTATATATACAGATAGTATCAGTATATTTTGACTCGTCGTAGTTGATAATCTGTCTTACGTTATAAATTATTAGTTCCATTTTCTATGAACAGCTACTTAAGCAACCAATCACCATGACTATTTGAATATCTTTTATGCATTTATTCTCTGATCTTTAAATTTATTATATATAAAGAAAAGATTTTAATTATATAATTCTTTTCGCAAGGGATCAGTAAAAAAGAACATAAGAGAGTTATGTAAATTAAATAAAATATTAGATCATTTTCTTCTATTCAAATCAGTAAAAATAACACAAGTAGTCTGTACCATTTCCTTAATATAGGCCAAGAAGTATTTTACATACTAGTACTAAATATATCTTTCTTTTAGGAAGTTATCATGCATTAATCATTTATGCTAATCAACATAACAATTGTAGGAAAATAAAAGTTGATTTGAAGAGCCAAGGAAGCCAAGCTAGAATAATTGGAAGCCTAATATCAATAATGGGGGCATTATCAATTACTTATTACAAAGGTCCTGTGGTGAAGCAATACTCCCCATTTTTCCTTCAGCTAGCCAGGCCACGCCTCCTTGCTGTATTCACTTCAACACATGAGAACTGGCTTCTTGGCTGCTTTTTATTTGCAGCTGCTTCATTTGCTCTTTGCATTTGGAATATTATTCAGGTTTAACTATCATTCTTTTTTATTATCTCTTTAGTTTTCTCATTTTGGATATATATATATATTTTCTACTCACAAGTCGAACATCGAAAAATATTTTTTCAGAAAAATCGGTCCATGAAAAATGACTTCCGTCTATATCACACACTCTTTGTATTGCTGTGTATTTACTTGTATTTCTTTTTCTCTAATTTTGATCAGGCTGGAACTATGAGAAAGCACCCACAGGTGATGAAAATAGTGTTTCTCTATACTTTATTTGGGACGATCCAATCTGCAATACTTGCTCTACTTATGGAAAAAGATTTGAGAGTATGGAGACTTGAGCTTAACATGGAACTTCTTGTTATTGTTTTAACTGTAAGCGCAACAAGTACACAATTTTTCCACATTTTTACGTACTTTCTAGTCAATTACAACTAAATTAACATGCAAGTTTTTTTCTTAATTAATAGGCTATTTTCGGCAGTTTAATACGTAGCAGTGTACAAATGTGGTGCATGCGTTTGAAAGGAGCTTCTTTTCCTCTATTCTTCAAGCCAGTGGGAGTGCCAACAGCTAGCACTTGTGGCTGTTTACTTTTTGCCGAAACCTTTCACTATGGAAGGCAAGTTTTATCGTCTTTTTTTCCCCTAAGATTTGAGTTATATATTGACGGTGTAAAAAATAATAAATTTCAGACTATTACTATAATTTAACTTGGTATATATAACATTTGAGTTACCATTTATTTAGATTATCAATATCGAATGCTTATTATATAGAGTTGGTTGCAATTACCATTTTTTTTTTTTTTTATGTTTAAGCAATATTAATATTATTGTTCTTTCCTAACACGAAAATAACTGATGAATATTGCAG